CATCATCATCATCATCAGCAGCAGCAGCATCATCATCATCATCATCATCAGCAGCAGCAGCAACCTCATCATGAGCATCATCATCAGCAGCATCATCATCATCATCAGCAGCAGCAGCCTCATCATCAGCATCATCATCAGCAGCAGCAGCCTCATCATCAGCATCATCATCATCAGCAGCAGCAGCCTCATCATCATCATCATCATCAGCAGCAACAGTATCATCAGCATCAGCATCATCGTCATAAGCATCATCAGCAACAGCATCGTCATCATCATCAGCATCAGCAGCAGCATTAGCATCATCATCATCATCATCAGCAGCAGCAGCATCAGCATCATCAGCATCATCATCATCAGCAGCATCATCATCAGCAGCAGCAGCAGCAGCAGCCTCATCATCAGCATCATCAGCAGCAGCAGCAGCCTCATCATCAGCATCATCATCATCAGCAGCAGCAGCTCATCATCATCAGCAGCCTGATCATCATCATCATCATCAGCAGCAACAGTATCACCAGCATCAGCATCATCGTCATAAGCATCATCAGCAACAGCATCGTCATCATCATCAGCATCAGCAGCAGCATTAGCATCATCATCATCATCATCAGCAGCAGCAGCATCAGCATCATCAGCATCATCATGATCAGCAGCGGCATTTCAGCTTGATTATCAGTCATGGCAAAGAGCTAACTGCACGTTTTCGGGAAAGCCCTTCACCTCCACCTGATGGCAGCATCACGCAGCCCCTACACACGGGTGCGTGGGAGTTCCCCGCTTCGCCGTGTCGGGGTGGTGCAACGCGCTGAAAGGATCTCCCGAGCGCGCGCGCTCTCTCTCCTTTCTCTCCACCGCCTCTACCCCATCAGCTCCATCCTCCCCCTCACGACAGTCTCAACAGCAGCAGCAGCAGCATCAGCAGCATTAGCATTATCAGCATCAGCATCAGCAGCATCATCAGCATCATCAGCAGCATCAGCATCATCATCAGCAGCAGCATCATCATCAGCATCATCATCAGCAGCAGCAGCAGCAACCTCATCATGAGCATCATCATCAGCAGCATCATCATCAGAAGCAGCAGTAGCAGCAGCCTCATCATCAGCATCATCATCATCAGCAACAGCATCGTCATCATCATCAGCATCATCAGCAGCAACAGCAGCATTAGCATCATCATCATCATCATCAGCAGCAGCAGCATCAGCATCATCAGCAGCATCATCATCATCATTAGCCTTAGGTCTTTATCTTATGCAATTTATCTTGTTTTTATGATGTTTTGATCATTTCCTAGGAAGCATGACAAAATACAGTTTATTTTATTTAATTTGCTGAGGGATGGAATCTGTTGCACCAAAATCATTAGGCGGATTTAGAATCATTCCTGTTGACTTGTTTAACTCAAGCCGTATGTAAAGCAGAGTAAGCGCTAGCGGTGGCTAAAGGCTCTCAGACGACTGTCTCCAGATCCACCTGTGAATAAGCGTCCATCAGATCACACAAACATGTGAACGCCGGCTCTGGAAAGTGAACCAGACAGCGATACAGAGAGAGCCATTACAGCCTCTGAATTTCCCCGAGGCATTAATGTGAAGGAGAAACTGCCGGAAGAGCCAGCGGTTTCTCAAAACAGCGAGAGAGACTTTAGAAAAGTCGGTCTGATGCTGAAACACTCACTCATAACTCTGCTGATGGCTCTTGAACTTATAGTGGGCAACTGTGAAAATTATACATGTTCAAAAAATATAAAAATCCTCCCTATTAGAAATTAGGACAAAAGTGGATGATTTGGCCACAATCTTAGTTGTAGTTCTGCTCTGACTTCATCTCAAAACTGCCTAATCATATTATAGCACTTTTTTGGGGGCCTCACAGGCATGGTAATGTTTCAAATTGTAAGTGGAATTATATAACCTTCATTGATGTTCAAGAACAACAGCTTCTGGGATGAACAGGGAATGATTAAAAAAAATATAATAATAAAGTAAAATAAAATAAAATAAAATACAACACAATAAAATGAAAACGCATAAGGTGAAATAAATTTAAATAAAAAATACACTAATTAAATTAAATGAAACAAAAATAAAATAAAAATACAAGAGATAAAATAAACAAAGTAAATTAAAATAAAAAATAAATGAAATAATAGAATAAAATAAATAACCAAACAATAAGACAATATAAAATTAATTTAAATAAATAAATGCATGCAATAAAATAAAATAAAGGAACAAAATTAAACAAAATAAGACAAAATAAAATAAAAAAACAAATAAGACAAAATAAAATCAATTTATTTTAATTTAATTTAAATAATATAATAAAATAAAACACAACACAATAAATTGAAAACGCACAAGGTGAAATAAATTAAAATAAAAAATACACTAATTAAATTAAATGAAACAAAAATAAAATAAAAATAAAAGAGAAAAAATATAATAAGGCAAAATAAAATAAAACAAAGTAAATTAAAATTAAAAATAAATGAAATAATAGAATAAAATAAATAACCCAACAAGACAATATAAAATGAATTTAAATAAATAAATGCATGCAATACAATAAAATAATGGAATAAAATTAAACAAAATAAGACAAAATAAAATAAAAAAACAAACAAGACAAAATAAAAGAAATTAAATGTAATTAAATTAAAATAATAAAATAAAATTAAATTAAAAAATATTTAATGAGCCACAAGACTACACATGGCCCAAAGACATCGGTCTAATGCTGAAAACAAGCTGATCACGGCCAGCTCGGAGTATCTGACACATTAAATGCAGTATTTTTCATTTTCCACTGACGGCTCTTGAAATTCTAGGTGGGCGACTGTGAAAATAATAAGCGTTTAAAAAATATCAACATCCTCTTCACAGCCAAAAGACAAAAATAGGCTCAACACAAATGTGACGGGCAGTAATTGCGTATGCTTAGAAATCAATACTACAGCTGGTAGTTTATTAATGTCTTGAGTGCTGTCCATGTAAGTATCAGCTCAAACATGCCATGTTCCAAAAAAGTCAATAACAAAGCAAAGCGCTGCGAAACCTGGCTTTATTTCCCTCGGTAACACACAGACAGAGATGATCTGCAGCGGACGGCTGACAGAGGATATATATCGATGTATTGATGCGGGCCCTGAGAAAGAAAGAGCCCAGATAAAGGTGCCCAGATTTGTTATCATTTGTAGAAGCGCAGAGAAACCTGCTAAAGAGAAGCTGCGAACACTGACAGAATTACACTCTCCATATGTTCAAAAACCTCTTCTAAAGGTTAATAAGACAGCAGATTAAATTCACTGCTATTTATTTCTTTATTTCTGGGCCATATGAGCAGACCATGGTGAAAGTGTGATGTGCTCTTTTACACAGCCCTCATGGAGACCAATCAGTCTCACTCAAGCTTATTAACAAAGGTCAGAGAAAGTTTAAATCATATCAAATTAGACCGCGCAGATGCCTATGAAATCTCATAACTGTGAAGATCTGATTTACCTCGATCTCATATGAACAGAAGTAAAACATCATGTTGCTAGCAAAAATGAGGACAAAATTGGATCATGTGACCACTGTTTTGTCGTATTTTTGATAAGTTTTTTATCATATTTCTATAACTTTTTTGGGCCTCACAGGCATGTTAATGTCTCAAATTGTAGTTAGTAGAATTATGTAACCTTCTATGATCTTCTATGACAGCTTAGACAAATGTTATGTAAATGGAAATAAAAAAAAAACAAATAAATAAATAAAATTAAAAGACAATACAATTACATTTATTTTAAATAAAAATAAACCAAAACAATTAGATAAAATAAAACAATACAAAACAAAACCAAAATAAGAAAAAAAAAATCAATAAAAAATAATAAAAATAGGCAAAATAAAATAAAAATCAATTAAAGAAATAAATTAAAAAAAAATTAAAAACTAAACAAAATAAATACATTAATTCATTAATACAATTAAAAGAAAGACAATACAATACAATTACAAAACAAAATAAAATAAGACAAAATAAAATAAATTTCTGTTAAAAATTTAAATAATAAAAATAAGCAAAATAAATTTAATTAAATAAAAACAAATATTAAATAGAATGAATTCCATTAAAAAAATTAAATACAATAATAATATAAAATAATCTTGCCCAAAGTTATCCATCTAATGCAGATGTACATAGACAATTTTGAGGTCGCCTGCTCTTTATGTAACTACATACACAAGTGATTCTTACTATTAATTTGTAAATAAATAGTAAGTTACTCTTACAAAAATGAGGTTACAATTCGTCCACGTAAGAATCCCTATCTAATCCATAAAACTGAACTTTCTCTCTCTTTCTCTCTCTCTCTCTCTCTCTCTC